CAGTATGTAGTAGGGATGGACAATATATCTGCATCGTTAGCAGCCGATGTTAGTCATTTTTCAATATATCGGTATCGGTCCGATAAATAAAACCCAACCGATATTAACAACCGATATATTTTCCATCTCGTCTCCATTTGGTTGCCTGTATCAGAGGGGGAGGGGAGGTGATGTGTCATTGTTTAGTCGTGTGAACATTGAATGGAATAATCTCAGAACCATAAATGTGTGTGTTGTGTACATAATAATGTAAATACTGCTTTAATAATTTTCATTCTACACAAAATCTGCAGATTTTTGACGCATTAGTGTCAGTATATTGGCATCTGCAAATATCGGTTATAGGCCATAACAGTGATCTTAATATCGGATATCAGTATCGGCCTAAAAATGTCATATCGATGCATCACTAGTATCTAGTTATGGGTAAATCATGTTCATGCTCCTCTCGTCCTATGCAGATCATGAGAGACCTTCAATAAGAAATCTATATCACCCGTTTAGTTAATATTATTTGAACAGATTTATAAATATTTTAATGAAATCCTACAACAAAAATAGAAGAAAATGTAAAGTATGCAACAGAAAAGATGGCTCTACAAGTTTTAGTTTATTTCTGTTTGACCAGTAGATAAGTCAGAAATAATTGCAAATTCTGTTGTGTTGGCGCTTTAGACTTGACAGTTCCATTAAGTTTAATTTAGAAATGCAAATTACTGTTTATGTTTGTTATGATAGGCAAGTGACAGGAGTATTGAATCTGAAAGGGTTTCAAGCTCCTTTTTGCAAATTGTAAATAGAAAGACTCCACAAAATAAGAAGCAGGGTATATTATTGAATTTCACAGGCAGGAAAACAAACATTGCGTGCGAAGGACCAGGCTGGCATACACAAGATATGCAAAACAGCACGTGGTGCAAAACAAAAAGGCATTGTCGTACATGTTGTGCATATTTGAAATCAAATCACTCTGTTCTCCAAAGCTAATCCGGTTGTTGTCAATAACAACCTATAGACTGTTCTAGTGATATTCAAAGCTCAGACTCCAAACTAATAAGGAGCCTGCAACACTAAGCTGTTAATGATGTGAAGGTAAAACATCAGGATTCGCAAAATATGCAAAATAAGCAAATATCTGCCTTTAAAATGAACTTGATTTAAAAATAAAACATTTCTACTGCATTTGTAAAGAAGACTATAGGGTCCCAAAGAAAGTCCGGCAGCACCAGGACTGTCTCCTAAAGATGTGGAATTGAGACTCTGGGTGTGACTGAATTTGCGACGCAGTGTGAAGCAATGGAGGGTAGCATGTCAAAAGGTCAAGACAGACAGCAAAGAAGCTGCTTCGCATCAAGATAAAGATCAGAGACAGACTATTCTGCCACAGATTCAGGGATTGCACTGTTGAGGAAATTCTGACTTCCTAGTAGGCATCGAGAAAGCGCTCTAAAGTTTGGCTTCACTTCACTAAATGTGATGGGTGATCGGGTGATGACGACATTGACAACAATCTAACTTAGGCAGCATCATCTTAATCTGCTCCAGCACGTAAATAAACTGTTTGAAGTAATGTTAGCTTGATGTTTTAGCTTCCGTTGCTATCAGCTAATGGTGTGTTAGCTTTCTCCTCGGTACTCCAAAACTCTGACTTCCAGGTAGGAAAAACCAACTGTTTGAAAATGAACCGCAAACGGAAGGAAGAGACACGGTTTACACGACCACAAGGACCCACCTATTACAGAACTTGTCCAGAGGGCCTACAGGAGTAAATTGAGCTAATCATACAAGACTGATGTTTTAGTTTTTTATGTCATTTAGAAACAGTTGTGGTTAAAGGTTTTCTTATTGAAGAATTCTGTACAACACTATGATGATAAAATACAAACAGCTGTATCTTATTTATTGTGCTGCTTATCAAATATGGTTCTATATTGAGAAAACATACATATATTTAATTACAATATTTAATTAATTATTGAACATTCAAAAGTATCAAAAATCGGTATCGTTACCCATCTCTAGAAACATGGGTTTCCAGAACTATGCAGCGTGACGGATACAGACATACTAATGTACATCCGGTGTTGCACAGGTATTGAACGCATACTGAATATTGAATTGATGTTATTGTGAGCCAGGATAATGCCTGTACCAGTTGAACTGAGGAGTTATACACTCTTACAGCAGAGGGGATATATGGCCCACGGTAGAATTCTGTTTTACATATATCACATCACATAACATCATACAAGTTTCAAAACTTAACCAAATCTACATTTGCAATATAACAAGTTTTGCTGGAGCGGTTCGCAGCTGAGTGTGAAGCAGCTGGGATGAGAATCAGCTCCTCTAAATCTGAGACCATGGTCTTGATTCGGAAACGGGTAGAATGCCTTCTCTGGATCAGGGATGAGGTCCTGCCCCAAGTGGAGGAGTTTAAGTATCTCGGGGTCTTGTTCATGAGTGAAGGAAAGATGGAGCGTGAGATCGATAGACGGATTGGTGCTGCATCTGCAGTGATGCGGGTGTTGTACCGGGCTGTTGTGGTGAAGAGAGAGCTGAGTCAGAAGGTGAAGCTCTCAATTTTACTGGTCACTCTACGTTCCTATCCTCACTTATAGTCACAAGCTTTGGGTAGTGACCGAAAGAACGAGATCACAGATACAAGCGGCCAAAATGAGTTTTCTCCGCAGGGTGGCTGGGCTCTCCCTTAGAGATAGGGTGAGAAGCTCGGTCATCCAGAAAGGGATCTGAGTAGACTACATCGAGAGGAGCCAGTTGAGGTGGCTGTGGCATCTGATTAGGAGGCCTCTTGGACGCCTCCCTGGTGAGGTTTTCCGGGCACGTCCAACTGGGACGAGGCCTAAAGGGAGACCCAGGACACGTTAGAGGAACTATGCCTCTCACCTGGCCAGGGAACACCTTAGAATTCCCCCGGAAGAGTGGATGGGGAGTGAGAAGTCTTGGCCTCTTGAATTAGGCTGCTGCCCCTGTGACCCAACTCCGGATAAGCGGAAGAAAATGGATAGATGGATGGACAAGATGTGTGTCTCTCGAATTATTTTTCTGATAGTTCTGTTTATTATCTTTATGACTGTAACACTTATACCTGAATCCAGAATCACAAGTGAAGCTCCTTGGATAACCATTATTTATTCAGGCCTAGTCCACACGTAGCCGGGTTTTTTCAAAAACAAATATCCGCCCCTCCAAAAACTTGCATCCACACCACCTTGTTTGAAAAAAAAACTGTCCACACGTACCCGGATAAATACGTTGTTAAGGACATGCCAGACCTGTAGGCGGCAGTACTTCCCCCGTTCTTAACCTCGTCCTTCGTCTGTGGTCTTCAGCAAGGAGCAGTAATTCCGCTTGCAAAAACAAACAAGCAAAAAGCGCTTGGACAATTGATAAAGCGAGCGCAGCTCTGAGGGCATCCATGCTGTCGGCTAGTGTAAACACAGGTCACACACGTGATGTCAGCATTTTTTTGTCGCGGAAAGTGACGTTGCGGACCTTAAAACTCCGGTTTTGTCTGTCCACACGCAGACACCCAAAACAGAGAAAACACAGATCTTCACTTTGGCCAGAGTTTTTAAAGAGATCCGTTTTCGTGTGAAAAAACTCTGTTTTCGTGTGGGTGACAGGCCAAAACGTAGAAAAATATCTATGTTTCGGCAGATCCCCGGCTACATGTGGACAGGGCCTCAGCTTCACTTCAGACTCACTTAGTTGAATAGAAACATTTGCACTGAAGAGAACAAAAGCTGACGACATAACTTTTATTCTAGAAGTGCTTGGTGTACTGCCATGTGAATCCAGTCGGATCTCCAAGGAGAAGACAACCATGTTCCTTCTATTTTCACTGACTTTCTCAGGAGGGCTACAGGATGGAGATCCTCCTCCAATAGTCTAAACACATTCTCACTCATCCTGAGGCATTCTCCTTGGTCACACAGAGTAACACTATTCCAGCCAGAGCCCAGCAGGGAAAGGTCACACCCCCCAGTGACAGGTGTCAATCACAGGAGGTGTGTTTCATCCAGACCCTCAACAACCCTCTGAAAGGTCTGAGGAGAACCTGGGAATACTGGTCTACTGACCTTTTACCAATGGATACTACTGACAGTAATTTAGTATTCTCTCATTGTCTTAATCTGTGAAAATACATACGATTTTTTTTTCTTATTAAACTATATATGTAAACAGGATTCAAATATCAACAAATCAAAGAGAAATGTGATGGTAGGAGAAAATATTTGATATATTATTTTGTACTGGGAATTCAAAAGGTTTAGGAGAATTACATCACTCGAGTGTTGGACATGAAAACGATTAGTTCAGTGTAAAGGTAAAAATAAAGAGATTTCACAAAATGCACAGCCAGTCAACTATGACACAAGCTGTGTGGCTTTCTCTTTTAGAGTTACATAAAAGCTGTAGGAAATTCCTTAAGGAACAGAAAATAAACTTTTCAGCATCACAACAATCTAAACCGGAATCTTTCAAAAGTTCCTTTTTATTGACACGCAGAAGCCATCTGACCCCATCAGCTGTGAGGAAGCTCGACTCAAAAACAGGTAGAGCAGAAGGCCTGGGAGGATTACCTTTGATCCAAGCTAAATGTATAAATAAGGAAACACTCTACCTGGCAATAAATCACCACACCTGGCGAGTTACCCCGAGGACGCTGCTGCTCTTTTATCTTGTGGATTTTACCTGCTCTCTGCAGAAAACTGATCGTAGGATGAAGCGGGTGATACAACTCTGTGTGAAATTCAGTGTTCTGTCAACCATGTGTCATCTTTGACACCTAAAAGTATACAAATACAGCCACGCCACAGCGCCTACATTATATGTGAGATGCAAATGAAAAAGATGGTTGGAAATTACAGGAACAATACCCTAGGCTAGTTAGTGTCACTTCAACAGGAAAGGCAGGGTGTCACAACACCAAGCGCTGCGGTTGTGGGAACGCTTAAATACAGGTGATCTCTTACCTGTCAGGAGGAGCAGGACGTCGATGCTTGTTGACCTGAGCGTACAACGCCTCCAAGGGTGGGCCATTGTTCTGAAGGTTCAGGGGAGCATGAGGGCTCTTGGGACTCTGAGGGAGGTGATAAGGGTGGTGGTAGGCATCCAGGCTGCTGCTGTCTGCAGATGAACCCAACGACCCAATACCGGCATATGTGTGCTCCTCGTCTGAGCTGAAGGTGCGGCTGATGACATCTTGGATTTCAGCGTATTCCCTCTCTTTAGCCAGCTTGTCCCGAAGTTCTTGGGTCTTGGCCTGGATCCTGAGATAAACACGGTCAGGATGAAAACACAAGCTACACCATCTGCTAAGGCACAGCCTCTTATCTATTATAGAAAATGTTTGAAACTAGTATGATTAAAACAAGAAGAGAATTGATGCATGTTTTAGCATTTATTCATACGTACATCTATCAGAAAGAAAGATGAGGCTGGTGATTAAGTCGACGAGTGTCAGGTGTATAAATAACAGAATGAAACTTTTATTATTGAAACGTTGTTCCAGATGTAGTTTTAGTCCCACCACTGAGTGTCATCTCAGATTGACTCGAGTAGCAGTGACCTCCCAGTCACATTAGCAGGTAGTTATGCCAAACGGGACAGGAAGGAAAAGACACACGTTTAACACGCAGCACTATTCACATATCAGATGTTACAGAACTAGGACACAGATTGTGATTTTCCCCGGGGACTCTTGAAGAGAAAAAAATGGGAAAAGACCCGTTTTCCTCCTTCACGTTCCTTCCTCCTCCACCATGTTTTTCCTGTCCCCGGGACTGCTGCCACACAAAACAGCCTTTCACTGAGCTTTCCTGTCTCGGAGAACGGTTCCATGTGAATTCCCACATGTGTGCAGCTAACGAGACTCCCAGAGCATGGGTGTGAGGGGAACTGGTGCTGCCGGAGCAGAGAGGAGGACAGAGGTGGTGGGGGCTGACCTCCCACTAAGGCGACCCAGCCACCAGACCGTTCAATAGTTCCAGATGTTATTTGTGCTGTAGGGCGACGCACTCATCCGCACACTAAAACAAGCACGCAGCCTCCCACTGCTGCTGGACTTCCTCGTTACCTCAGGTCTTCACTGACCTCTGCTCCCCAGCACCCCTTCCCACTGCTGCTCCTCACAGATGACTGACAGGTTTGGAACACAGCAAGAATCCCAGAACAACACTTTCCCTCCCCATCTGTGTATTATAATAACAGTAATCACATTTCAAACCATAATCATTTTCCACTGGCAGATTAACCCAGTTCTAGCATCCCACCCATCCGCTGCCTTGTTTGTTCCTACCCTCCTCTAAAATCCTATTTTATTGGCTTCATCTGAAAAATGAGATTATAATCCAGGCTTGTTTCAACGCTGGAGGAACTAAGGTCATCGCTAAAGCTTCTAGTGGGTATAAGACACATTTATGTTGTTTTAAAGCTGAAACATACTAAAAATGATCACGCTAATCATTTTAAGTGGAGGTGATTCTGCATTTTTTACTCAAGTCTAAAAAATAAAATATTATGAAGAAGGAAAAACAAATCAAGTTGCAGAAGATTTGTCACCTGCAGTTTGTTTGCAGTGATGTCAGATTTGTGCCAGGAAGGAGCAGACAGTGATGGTGCTGCTGGTCCACGTAAACCCACTGGGATGTTAAAACCCTCTGGCATTTTATAGACTAATCAGATTCATAAAGAAATACAGTTATTGACATCAGTGATGACATAATGGTTTTGGCTAGACTGGTGACATCAAGCTAGAAGATACAGACTTCCGTTCAGGTCTCAGGAGGCTAATATAGAAAAGGCTAAATGATGCATGTCAATAAAGGCGGGTGTTTTGACAGAAATAGAACGTAAGTGCTGTTTGAAATGTCCTAAAGCATGGATGTAGCGTCCTCTAGGGTTATACAGCCCCCCCAAGGCACTTTACATCACATGCAAATGAAAACGCTGGTGGTGATGAGCTCCATCATCGCTATAGCTGCCCTAACCCTAATCAGCAGGCATGCAGGGTGAAGTGTCTTGCCCAAGGAAAAAGCAACTGCGGCAGTCTCACACCTGCAACCCTCTTGTTAGAGGGTGCTTAACTCTTCTGCCATCCTGCCACCATCAAACCCACATCACTGCTGCTTGTGAGGGTGAGGGTGCAAAAAAAGGGTAAAGGTACCTGTCCCATAAGCCTCTAGTCCTGTGAGACCAGACTTCCCCGTAAATGCTTTGGGAAGAAAACACCAAAGCCACACAGAACCAGACAGCAGCGGTCTTATTTGGAACCCATTTTTCTGCTCATTAACCTTAAAACTTCCACACCTGCTAACCATGTTTTTCTTGGGCTGCAAACTGCAACAGCAGCTCTCCTCAACTCCCTTCTCAGCGAACGCCCCAGCTCTACCACATATACTCCATTAGCCAATTAATGGCCCAGTATGTTAACATTGAGGAAAGTGCTGTCCACACTAAATACATTATTACTGTACAGCTCCAATTTCCACTCTGTCTCCTCTCCCTTCGTCCTGTAGATACTACCTCTTAGTGGGGAAAGCTCTGAGATTTTTATTGAAACAAGCAAGGGGAGAGAGATCCTGTTTTATTAGGACTGTGAAGCTCTACCGCGGCAGATTACTGACTTTTAGTTAATTAGTCTGGTTCTGACCTTCCCCTATAGTTATGCTGCCTTGTTTGTATTTTTATTTTAATTATTATGTATTTGAAAAGTCCTACGTGGCTTTGTACTGGAATGGCAATTCCTGCTGGAAAATAGTCTAGACAGTCTAATGCTGAGGCAACCAGGGTTCAGCTGCTAATCCACCAGCTGGCTGAGCAAAATTATGTGAGCCAGAGGATGTTGTTAATATTCTGCTAACCTCTTCTGTTCCCTTAGTTTTCCTTATATTCATTGTCATAAAAAAAAAAAATATATATATATATATATATATATATATATATATATATATATATATATATATATTATGATATGTGTTCTTTACAAAATACCTTATATGAAACATGGTAAATGGCCTGTATTTGATATAGCGCTATCTAGAGTCCTGGAACCCCCCAAGGTGCTTTACAATACAATCAGTTATTCACCCATTCACACACACATTCACACCCTGGTGGGGATGAGGTACGGTGTGGGCGCACTGACAGAGGCGAGGCTACAGAGCACTGGATCCACCGGTCCCTGCTCCAACCACCAACAGCAGGCAGGGGGGTTAAGTATTTTTTGTACGTTCTTTCTTTTTTGTCTTCAAATTCCATTTTTGGTTATTTTCTAAACACATCGAAGTAGGAAGTGACGCCACCATCAGCGTCAACTCTGAGGATGTTTGCAGCCGCAAACGAAACGTCAGAAAGGTAAAGAAAAACCTTATTTGTGTTTAAAAAAGAACCAAAAATGGAATTTGGAGGGGGGTTGAGTGTCTTGCCCAAGGACACAATGACAGCAACAGACTGAGCGGGGCTCAAACCTGCAACCTTCCGATTACGGGGTGAGCCCTTAACTCTTGTGCCACTGTCACCCCATGATTATACATTAACACTGTATAAGTTTTGTATCTTTAAACTGTGTTCTCTGGAAATTAATATTTGATTCTGATCAAGGGAGACAGGATTTAAATGAGATCATTCACAAATGCAGTTCTAACCTGCTTTCTCCAGTAACGGTCACAGAGAGCCGGTGCTGATCTCCAGCAGTAACTAGACTAAAGGATTAGGGTTAAACCCTGAACAGGTCACCAATTCCTTATTTCTTGTTATTATTTTACGATAAAAAAATTCCACAACTGCATCCGTTTACTTCTAAGAGCCATTTTGTCTGTGCCCAACACACTGATACACTTCTCAGCTTCGCAAAGTAAAATCTCAGCAGCAACCCGACATTATAATCTAAGATTTAATAGATGGAGCATATTCTAGGGAATTTCCCAGTTTTTGTATGGTTTTCCCATGAAATGTCAAACACATTTTGAAATTAGTTGGAGATTGTTTTTGGTAATGAGGGCAAATGAGAGTGATCAATGAGAAACCACAAAGCAGCAAAAATCACTACCAAAATATGTGTGATGACTCCGTCACAATGAAATATTTAGCCTATGAATGTTAAACGTTGAACAGAGTGAACTTTGCTTCAGGGAGATACAGGGGTTGTTTTCTTCACCCCTCTTCAAAGGAGAATCCATCGTGAATGATTGGGAAAACACAATCTTTGGGTCTCTATGGCAAGCCCAAAGGACAACAGACTACATCAGTAACAACACAACAGTCTCCAGGTCTTCTGGGTTTTTGGACTAAAAGTGTCATGATCCTGCCATGCCCTGACCTCCACGCACCATCATTCATCTCATCAGCCTTCTTTCATCACACCTGGTCCCCTCATCAAGCTCATGCTGCTTAATAAGATCCGATTATTGAATGCTCTTGCTTGTAGATCTTCCTTCCTTCCTTCCTTCCTTCCTTCCTTCCTTCCTTCCTTCCTTCCTTCCTTCCTTCCTTCCTTCCTTCCTTCCTTACTTACTTACTTACTTACTTACTTACTTACCCATCAATCATCGACCTTGTTTCCCTCCTCCACCTTGCTTCACGTCTGACCCTCAGCTGGAACCCTACCTGCATTCACTACCCACGCCTGTCCTCTACGACGTCTCTCGCCTGCTCCCCAGACCTCTCACAGATCTTCCTGGTTTTGACCCATGCCTGTTCACCGACTCTGTCTCCAGCTTCACCCTCCATGGGTAACTCCGCATCTTAGCTTTAGTACCTTACTGTGCCTCGGGGTCCTTACGGGTCTTCAAGTCCAGTCATTACAAAAGGTCCAACGTGTTGGGTTAAAACAATTATTCTTAGCACATTTTAATTTTTAGGATAGCAGTCGGATCGTGTCTGAGCATTGGGTCGCACAGTGTGAGAACAAGACTCGTGAGCTTTCCTCTGTGAGGAAGTCGTTCACCTTTAGATGGCGCTGAATGCTATCAGTGAAAAAGTTGCACAGACTCAACTGGGAACAGGATTGTTAATCTAAACCTCCTTGTTTCTTGTTGAAGTAAAGCAGCAGATGTCATCATTACCCAAGTTTCATTTCTGTCTGAATATTAAAAAACAAAAAACAAAACTGTGAACTGGGTGAAATGAGTTCTGTGCAGCTCTACTTTGTAAAAATGCCAGTTTTGATCCAGCAGGACTGTTGTTTTGGTCTAACAAGGCCAACGTACTCCATCTCCATATATTTACCATTGTTTTCCCACCCAAAGGGCGTGCAGGTGAGAATGGGAGCTGTTTGTCTTCATTCCAAAGTCAGCACACTTAGCATTTTGAAGGCATGCCTCTTCAGTGTAGATTGTTGTGGTGTTGGATGAAAAAGAATCTATTTGCTTGAGGTGCACCAAATAGATTGTTATTTGCAACACCCCCTCGCCAGAGCATGCTTGCGTTGTGCTTTGGTGCAGGTGGAGGGCAGCTTGAATGGAAATCAGTAAGACTTTGCACACATCTTTCACAAACCTCCAGTAGCTCACCCTGGTGCTGAAACTTCATGCAGCCACCGAGATATTGTTCCACTTTTGTGATGTTAATTCACAGCGTTAATAATCCCATTACCTTTCTGTAGGTATCAATATAATTACAAATCTAATCAATCTTCCCAATCAGCCCATTTAGACCTTCCTTTGAACTCACTCAGAGAGACTCAGATAGCAGACGGAAAATAATGAGATGGTTTGACAAAGTGGAACGATATCACTCTTATCACAATCACCGCACAAAAACCAAAAAGAGAGATTGCTTTATTAAAATCGTCTTACCCTTTCAACTGGAGGCTAAGCCTGCCTATATGGTAAGAAGAAAGAATAAATATTAAAAGTACATTTCTACAGCTCATGCAGGATTGTTTTTAAGTCAAAGAAAGCTGTGCTGACTTGATCAAATAAAGCAAAGGGAAAAAGGTCAGTGTGTGTTTGTCTGGAGTCAGCAGGACATCTATCAACAAACAAGAGGAAGCAGGACTCTGTCGTGAAAAAGGGAAAAAAAGCCAACAAAGAAAAACAGTGATGTGTTCTGCTGAAGTCGAGGGAGGTGTAACAAGAAGAGTGGCAGAGGACTGCAGGCCGCTGATTAGAAGTCAAGCGGAGCCAAAGAGATAACAGAATGGACATCATAATCAGCTGCCTCAGAGACAGACAGAAAATGAAGTTCAGTCCAGACAGAAAATGAAGAAGGAACAATGTCAGATTGGCTTTGAGTACAATCACTTTGACCACAAAACTATAATTTCAGGGCCAGCTTGAGCAGAGATAAGTCTGGGCCTGATAGAAGCTCCAGCAGCCACCCTCCCTGCTTTTATTCGCCTTTCTCTCTCTTTGTTCCAGTGGCTTTGCACAAAAGAGTCACAAAGAGTCACGATCAGGGGCCTTGCAGTTCCTACGGACGCAGACGCCAGTCGGATAACAGCGTTTTTGGAACGCTCTGTGTGAGGAACCTGAACAGAACGATGGCTACCTCTGCTAAACTCAACATGAGCCAACATCGGCGTGGCTGCAGATGAGAACACCTCCTTGATGAAGCCTGAAACAGTCTGGAGCAGTGTCAAATCAGCCCAAATGAAACAAAAACAGGGTTTGTAATGATTGAAGTAGATTCAACACATTTTGGTTAAATTAATGAAGTCAACGTTTTATGTACTCTCTTCACCATCATTCACTGTCGTGACATCAATACGATGTAACAATTTCACTTAAAACAAATTGATTTAGTCTTAAAGGACCACGGGCCAACCCATCAGCTGTAAGAATCCTATCACAGCCGGAGTTTTAAATCTATGACCACAGCTGCCTTACTGCAGGGCGAAGGGGCAAGTTTTATGAATTAATCTGTTTCACCTCCTCACTGACTCCTATTTTGAAACACTTAAAGCTCTTGTCAGAGCTGTCTGCTCAAATTAATGATCACTAATGTCAGCTGAGCTGGGACTTTGGCTCAGGCTGTGCTGACACGTGCTGCTATCTGACAACTGCCAGCCTCATAAGCCTGAAATAGTCATAATTTCATGAAAGCACTCCAGAAGGTCCTATCTGCAGATCAGCAGCAGAATCAATTAGAACCTATGAATTTAGCGGACAACTTTGACAATTAAATAAATCACCCTGGGAGTGTAAAACGCCAGCTCTACCAAAGAAAACAAGGTGGAATGGATTTTGGAGCTGTCGCGATGCTTTGAATATTGGTTTCATGGCATGTTGTTTTATTATTACACCACAATTTCCCTCAGGATTCCCTTTCTATTAACTGAGGGACCATCCCAGCCCGGTTGAGTGATGGGATTTGGGAACAGGTACAAATGAAATAAATTAGATTGTGCTGCAGTGTAGGAAACATAAGGAAGAGTTCAGAAATGCAGAATGAATTTAAACAGGATGAGGAATGATAACATGCTCACGACGGCAGCAGCAGAAATAACACAGACTGGATTTAAATTGCGTGTGTGTGTGTGTGTGTGTGTGTGTGTGTGTGTGTGTGTGTGTGTGTGTGTGTGTGTGTGTGTGTGTGTGTGTGTGTGTGTGTGTGTAGGGGTGGAAATGCGTGTACTAAACATATCTCATGCCTGCTGTGTTGATTCTTCTGCTCCACGGGGACGGATGTGTACAAAGAACAAGGCCCGCTGGTCTTCAGAGCTCGCTGATGGAAATATGTTGGGTCTTCAGCCAAAGAGCTGGGCCTTCACTGCAAACTGTAGCTGAATACCAGAGAGAAATGTGCTACAGCTTTCTGAGCAAGGCCTCCAGATGTTCCATTCAGCAGGGAAGACGGCCTTTGTGACAGTTCAGTGTGTGTGTCACATTTTCAACAGCAATCCATCTTTTCTTCCTTCACTGTAAGAGGGAGCGCTATCAAGCCCTATTGTTTCTATTCAATTAGCAGTCATTACCAACGGCAGCTTGATTACTGAGTTCATTTGGCTGCTGCAGAACAATGGAGGCAGCAAGCTGTCTTTTCATTCATCCCAACCCCAATATTGTCTCCCTCACTGGAGAGAATTAAATAGGGCTTGTCTGTGAAGAATGAGGTGCACATTGCTATGCAATGCTTTCTCCTCCTTTAGGGTGTCCTCCTGATGTCCGTAAATGCCAGGCAACTCAGAGCTAAGAAGGGTGGATAAAGGAAAAGAGTGTTCTGCAGGGATTAGCAACCTGGGCAAGATGGAGGAGACGAACGCTGAGCTCCATTGATTTTTCTACTATAAAGCACACCATTCAATCAGGGTGAACTCACAGGGGTCTACGACTATCATTAGGAGGTCAGAGCTTGTGAATGGCTCAGGCAACTACAATCCATAAATGATCTATTTAATGCACCGATATAAAAGAAAGGGACAATTCACAAATTGCCACCTGAGTGCTTTCATTGCTTTTTTAAACCTTTCCACTTAATTATGTAATTTGGTTATTTTCTAGTCATCCAAGTCTTTTTTCTCTCTCTCTTTAACCCTTTGTTAACGTGAGATTTGAATATTTTAGCGTTTAATGTATCTAAGTGCTGGTTGCTCACAGTGGCGAATTGTCCATAGGGGCGCTATGGCACCGCCCCACCAGTCTCACAGGACAAAGAAGAAGAAGAAGAACATAGGAATCAGAATATATATATATATATATATATATATATATATATATATATATATATATATATATATATATATATATATAAAACAAATTTGTACACCACACAGACTACAATTGCTGTGTAAAATCTGCATTTAAGGGTAGTTTAAAATTGTTATTTACACTTTTACCACTACAGAATCATCTTGTGATGTATTTCCTGTTACTTTTTGGAGCAGCAACCTCTACCATAGACCTACGCTAACTGGCGCTTGCGCTGGATTCCCCCGTTCAATAGAAACAATAGGAGAGCCTTTGGGCGCAGAGGTACAGCAACCGTGAAGACACGCGCAGAAGATCGGCAGGAAATACAGTTCACCATCCCTGGTTGTTGTACAGCAGCTGAGTACACTATGAAGGACTGGAAAATGATGGAATGTGACATCAGAGATTTTTGAACATTCTACTGCATGTAAAAATTATGATTTTTTTTTTTTACTATAAGATGGATTATTACAACCTTAAACCAGCAAAGGCAAGACCGAGTTAATACTTTTAACTTCATGAAATTTGCACTGTTTTTATGCTGAATTTGCGCGATTGGTGAATATTAAGCACATTTTTGTAACAATTTTGCTGTTACCAGTATGTTGGTGTGACATAAGAATGGTGATTTGGCGTACCCTGGTGGTGATATCTGGATAGAGAATCTGAAATCAGCCCAGTCGCCCCAACCGCAAGTTTCAGACTTAATTATTAGAATGATGAGCAATGAGGCTATTTTTAATACATTCATGACGTGAACACTTTTCTAATCCGTGTTTCTACTGAAAAAAAACTTTAGTTTTTTATTTGAAATATGATGAAATAATGATTAAATATTTTCATTTCCGACACATTTTAGTTAAACATGTTAGAGACTAATACTTGGTGAGTATTTTTGTATATACATTTTTTTCTGCCAGCTTAAATGTTGCTGTTGGTTTAAAAACCAGGAATGTGACTTGAAATTACAATTTCTTTAAAGATGTATAATTATTTTTTCAACTAAACCATATTTTTGTTAAAGTATCCACCTATAAACCATCATTTTTAAGGAAGCAAATAACAAACATGTTAATAGTACAAATATATTCTAAAACCTTGTTATTCATGTGCACTTTCCCATAACAGGTCACGCAAATCTCGGCTGGCATGCTCTTTTCGGCACACCTGTTAAATTGTGTCCCACCAAAATAAATAAATAAATAATAAATCACCAACTGACGCTGATTGCTCACCTTTCTTGCTCCAGCCTCATTTGGTGGGTCTCCTTATCTGATGCTTGAAAATCTTCAGTTATAGATTTAGAGTTCTTCGTCTCCCTCCTGTCCTCCTCCTTCTTGTGCTTTCCAAACCTACAAGAACACAAACAGTAGATTGAATTTAGATGAAGCACATTCTAGAAATCGTAAACCTTCGCGTGTGTCTTTTCTGCAGATGCAGATAAAGCTCTTTGAGAAATCAGTGTCAAAAGGTCTAAACTAGCAGATTTCATTGGGAAGACACCCTTGGAGGGAACGATTGAAGAAAAAGCCTTAGCCTGCCTTTTAAAATTAATTGGTTTAAAAATTAAAATCCATCACGCCTCATAAAACAATAACCCAAACAGAATAAATTACTTTCCTGCTAGACAACGACAAAGAGTTCAGTGAAGATTTCAGTAAAAAACACAAATTTGGCTTTTCCAAAGCCAAAATAAGGGATTCCTGTCTGATAAATGTAACTAAGTCTAGTGGCAGCTGCAGGAGTCCATGCTTTAGCTTTCAGAAGAGAAGAAACCCCGCAACCAGTCAAACTCCGAGGCTACAAGAAAACTTGGTCTTCACAGGTGTCATTTTTGAAAGAGATGGCATTTTTGTTTTGTTTTAAATTAAAGACATCTAAGACAGCTTCACCAAAAGGTGAGAACAGACCCAGCTGGTAGTTGTAAATGCTTTTGGCTTTTCAGTTCAATTCATTTTATTTATATAGCGCCAAATCATGACAAGAGTCGCCTCAAGGCACTTCACACAGTACACATTCTACTGCAGTTCAGTTCATTAAGCCAATCAGTAAAAAGTTTCCTATAGAAGGAACCCAGCAGGTTGCATCGAGTCACTGACTGGTGTCAGTGACTTTACAGCAATCCTCATACTAAGCAAGCATGCAGCAACAAAGGAGAAGTTCCTGGTGATTAAATAACTAGCCCCACAAGTTGGGGGAGGACAGCAAAAAAAGGGAAACAAGACCATTTTAATTCTGATGTTTGATGCTGCTACTGTCTGCCTCCAACCTCATGTTCTGTGTGTTCAGATACCCAAAAGTATACTCAACTAGAAGCACCCTTTTCCAGTCCGGGTTTTTTAATTTAATTATCAGGCAGTAAACCATGCCAATGTCTGGAGAAAAAAATGAAGTACAGCAAAAATTGCCTTGTTGCTTTTGCCCAACATTTAAAAGGGGCCAAGGCAGTTTTGGCTTGCTGTCCGTTTGTAGAATTGAAAGCTAAATGTATCTCCTTGCTGTGCGTTCGTCTTTTTAACACCTTAATATGACAGCTGAAAGGTCTCCCCAGCCTTCCTTAGTGTCTACAGCAGAGATCCATCACTAAATTAGACAAATCAGCTGTGTTCATGATCTAAAACATGCAGGAAACATTCTGGAACCAGATTGCAGCACCAGGTATGGAGGCTCAATTTTCTTGAAGTCCTAACCTTTCACTAACCCTGTAAAGGATCATTTTGGCTCATACTGGCTCAAGAATATGATTTAAAAATATGAGAATGTTGCAAAGTATCCCTTTAAACTCTGGGCCGTGGGCAACAGCAGCCCTAGAAAAGCCTAGACTTTCCTGTCCTCAGCCACTTCTACCAGCGGTGGGACACCAAGGCATTCCTTGGCCAGTAAAGGGATGCCCTTTCTTCGGCATGTTCTGGGTCAGCCCTGGAGTTATCACTCTACATGACATGCTCAAACCACCTCAGGTGGTTCCTGTTGACAAAGACCAGGAGCAACAGCTCTACTCCACACTTCTCCTGCCCATCCAAGTTCCTCATCCTCCTCATCTCTCAGGCTCAGCCTGGCCATCGTGCAGACGAACTTCATAATTACATTATCTGAAATCACGATTTCAATCAGAAGATCATAGATCGTTCAGCCATAATATCGTGTGTTCCTAATGAGGTCTAATGGGGAAAATGGCATTCTGTCATTACTGACTCAAATGAACGAGCACTATAAGGATATGAAGACATGATGCATCTACACTAACACCCTAAACAGCATGGATACAGGTCTGCTTTAGAGATTCAGTCTCATAGTGCACATCCCTGGATTATCCTGTAGCAGAGGGTTTCATGCTCCAAAATGCTGGTAAAATGTGTCTCGTCCATACAGAATATGCATAAACTGATCATTGATCACTGTGAGGGGAGGGTCTTCCATTGTAAATTGCATAGGACAAACAGGGTCTATTGTATGTTAAAATGTTGTCAAACACAATTTAAAAAAACAGAGTGAGTTTAAGCCAAACACAGCAGAGCTCCTGCTTCCTAAGTAGAAACTTAAGATTTCTTTTTGTACAAGATTTGTGGGGAATTCACTTCCTGTTTCAGTAAATCCTGTAAACAAAATCTGCAAAGAACCAAAACAAACAGTCACATATGAAGTGACTGGGGTTCATTAACTCTTAAGTTCAGCACATGCTGAGGTCTGACATATAAGTAGTAGGTGGCATCTCATAAACAGCCTGTTTGTTATACATTTTTGATGTTGTTGTGAGGAGCAGGTGGAAGCCTGAAGCCTCTCCCGATACTTCAACATTACCAGCAAAGAGCTTGCTGCTAGTACATGGAAAAGGTGTGTTACATCTCATTTGAACTATGATATAATGCAATTGTACTTATTTTGAACAGCATGGAGGCGATAGATCACATGTAAAATGAGATTGTAAAAAATAAAGAAAAATAGGCGTACTGACTTCTCATGCAGCGTAACTCTGTGGATTTTCTATAAAACATTGATTGTGATGTTTCACTCGGGCTTTGGAGGAGTCTCGCTTGGTTTTAGAAAGAGAAAGCCTTCCATTCTGCAGTCTCCCAGCCCCATGGTGATTCTACTTTGAGCTTTCCTTTTTATTTTACTTTTCTCATAGCTCTGCTTCACTTGACAGTTTGGAAACTTTCTCTAAAAACTGAACAATTACATCAGAAAAGGTTGCCTTTCAGCAGGTAGAAGCACATATATGACTTTGTGGATGTTTATTGCTCTACTTCACAATAAAAGCCCCTTAAACTTGGTGCAAATGGTCTCCCTCTGGCAAGGACTAATTTAGAATAGTGATATATGTTGTTTGTGAGAGTTCCCAGTTAAAAAGCCAATGAAAAGCAAATAAAGCTTTGCTGATTCTTCTGTAGCTCAGACCTAATACATTACCTGATTAATTCATCTACAAATGGCTCTTCTAAGACACAAAACTCAGTGTTTGAGTTTGAAATGTAAAAATAATGACTCTTGCATCCATCTCCAGGGACGGTGACGGCCTTTCGTACCTCCTTTTAAGTTATTTTATTAACTTTCTGAAGATTTTTCAACTTTTTTCTCACTACCTGCCACACACCCCGTAAAAACCCAACACAACCTTAAGGGGGAATAGCGTTATTTTTCTTCTAGATCGATCTTGTTAAAGTGAGGGATTTATTTATTGTGAAACATGTTGGTTGGATTAAGCGGAGCAAGACCCTGGGCATGCAGCAGCTCCATTGGAAAGGCTATTCCCTCATCAATTGTGTCCGGAGAAGGAGGAGCGGAGCACATGCCTGCAAAACAAACAGATAACAGAGACCATTTGGAACACCTGCCTGTTCAATGAAAACATTTCCAGCAGGTTGGAGCCATTGTGATTCACCAGCTGAGCCTTCAAAACTTCACTCCTGCTTTAACATCTAAATAGAACCAAACACTCAGTTTTTTAGACACAAAACTTTGGTCCGCGTTTGTGTACAACAAATGCAAAACATGGATTTTCTCTGTAAGATAAATGTCTTATTTGAAAATCCAAAGAAATTCAATAAAAACAGTAATGATGTTGAGTTAATCAGTGTCAGGAGGGGAGAAGGAACTCTGACAGGTTGGTGAATCATGGTGCACACGGATAATAATCTATGCTGATGTGAGAAAAGTTATACTTAGTATGAGCCTGATGAGGCTTGGTAATAAGATATTGATCGGCAGCTGTAAGTCTCGGTTAAATCACTTGAACTGAATGTAACAAAGAAATATACTTGTAACTTGAGTAAAGGTAAAAAGTTCACTTCAACATACACACTTTTATAAAGCTCTGATCTTATTTTAAGCTTCAGTTCAGCAGATCAAAGACCTGTTTAATATTCTGTTCCCAAACACAAGACCCACTGAAGAAACTCACTAGAGTTGCACAGTTACATGCATGTGATATATGCTGAACCCTCGTGTTCCCATTCTGCATATTGTGTCTATATTTATTTAAAGGTCTGAGAACATATTCTGCCTTTATGCAACACTGTCTGTTTGTTGGTGGTTAATTTGTTGCTACAATGTGACATTCAGGTGTGGGTATAAAGGGTATTTTCACCAAAGTGTTCCATGCAGAATGTCACAAAGAAACATATATAATACAGACCCTAACAAGGAAAATTAATGCATGATGGTGACATAACACCAAGGCAGGAGAGGCAGGTTGAATGGTGGTGATACTATCCCTGGAACAGGGAGCTGGTGTAAACTCTTCCTACCCTGATTTCACACTGGAAGCATTGGCGCCGCAAAACAGCAGTGGACCAGTTTACTCGCGAACTTAAAAGCGGTCCTTTTCACACCGGGAGAGTCTTGGCAGTGGCACGGCTTCCTCTCTGTGCTCTTCATTGGACACCCAAGATCATGAGATCCTTTGAGACTTCAGGTTACAGTTTGTTTACGCAATCCACCATTAAACCAAAAAGAAGTAAGTCACATTTGATATTGTTGTTTGATATCATATTTGATGTTTTTCCACTCCACTGCAAGAAATAAAGCCATGAAAAACACACCGCTGCACTTCTGAAACAATGCTGTGGGTGAATGAGTCACTGGGTCACACGTAAGCTTCATATATATGAAATTGCATCGCTGCAGGGCTTTTATTTTGAAAAGTACTGGGGAATTTACACAGAAACAGTGTGTGATTTCCTGTCTAGCCATATGTTAACTGCGGAAATTGACGTTTCCCAGTAGCGGCTTGTGGCAAAAATAGAACCGGATCCCATCTTTAGCGGCACGCCGCGCCGCGTCCGGGACACGTCTGAAAATTGCAACGTCGCTGCTGGTTTGACACAGTCCATAGAGTATAATGGATTCTATT